AACTGGCTTTAAAACAAGATTTTGTGACCCTCCATGATGTGGTAAATTTTCCAGGTAATATAAGACTAAAATTATTCTGAGGTGTTTAATGCTTTTTTACTTATTTTGTGAAAAATCAACAACATTTAAAATATGAAGTGAATTTTAAAATAGAAAGGATAAGGAAGACAGCTGTGTGTGTGTGTGTATGTGTGTGTTTTCATTTGAAATGTATCCTGATGTAATATTTATGTAAAAAGCTGGTTATATAAACCCTGTCTTTCTCTTGCTTTTTACTTTGGGAGCTGTATAAAGCTCTACTGTTTTTTTCTCATGACAAAATACATTCAAACCCCAAAGTCTTAAGGAAAGAGAAAACATCTAGATTCTACAGCAGAGACACTTAATTCAAACTCCCTATAGAATTCACCCTTTGAACAACAGTTTCATTTACGAACCTGTAGTCTCTGGAATTCTGATTTAAAACTTTCTCTCACACTATTCCCTGGAACACCTTTGGATTCATTGTACTGCCTTTAAGTCTCAAACATATTATAAAAGTATTCTTTTTCCTCTTTCTCTTTTTGTAGCTCTTCGCTTCTTTCCCACACCGACTACTTTTTCATTGGAGTAACTCCCTTCCCAGATGGGAACACAGTGAGATTTGTCTAAGGTTTATCAGTCTTCCTCCCTGCTATGATATTTTGTTTCACTTAACTGACTGGTGTCCTCTGGGGACAGGGCATTTTTCTGATGAGGGAGGTTGGAGGGCTTTGGGGGTTTGTCTGTTCTTCCCTTTTAGTTTCTGCCTATCAAATGGTTTTAAAATGGATACAAAATGCTAGAGAGCACAGCATTAGGCATTGTGAGGTTTCTGCTAGAAGAAAGTGAGATCACGTGTGTGAGAGGTAGTGTGGTGGTAGGTCTGAGTGTTCTTAATACAGTAAGGAAAGGTAAAAGTAGGAGGGAGAGGGCTTCCCTGGTGGCGCAGTGCTTGAGAGTCCGCCTGCCGATGCAGGAGACGCGGGTTCGTGCCCCGTTTCGGGAGGATCCCACATGCCGCGGAGCGGCTGGGCCCGTGAGCCATGGCCGCTGGGCCTGCGCGTCCGGAGCCTGTGCTCCGCAAATGGGAGAGGCCACGACAGTGAGAGGCCCGCATAACGCAAGAAAAAAAAAAAAAAAAAAGTAGGAGGGAGAGAGGATGGATCTGAGTAGGAACTACTGAGGTTCATCTCTGTGTGTTTGGGATCAGTATCATTCCTTTAGGTCACACTTTACTTCTGGATGGCAAGGCCATATGAAATTGGTTCATTTAATTTTACTAAAGGTAGGAGGTGAGTTTTTCCTTACTATTTATAAAAGATTCAGGCTATTTCCTAGTTTGTTTAACTTTCTCTTACGTGTTAGCTATTGAATTTGGGTTTCCTTTTGTATGGAAAACTCTGGCGCATAAAGATAAAAATCAAAGCCAGGAGAGTTTTGTCTGGTTTTTCAGGTTTCATTGCCTGAATATGGCTCTGTGTTGTAACAACTGAATGATCAAGATCACTGGGGTTGTCATATCTCTGTATGTATGATGACATGGGGACATCTTTTGTTGTCTTAATATGAATAATGACTAAGCTAGCATACATTATTATTTTGTAAATGTGTCTCCTTTCAGCTTTTTTTTTCCCTTGAAAGAATCTATAGCTCAGATAGATATGTTTGTGGAATATAATGAAAATTGGTCACAATATTCTAGTCTTTAAGCAGGATATTCACACATATATTCATACATATATTTTTTCTGTGTCCCTCTTCATATTTTTTTAACTTTTTTATTGGCATATAAGTTGATTTACAATGTTGTATTAGTTTCAGGTGTACAGCAAAGTGATTCAGTTATACATATATGTATCTATTCTTTTTAATATTCTTTTCCCTTATAGGTCATTAAAAAATACTGAGTATAGTTCCCTGTGCTATACAGTAGGTCCTTGTTGGTTATCTATTTTATATATAGTAGTGTGTATATGTTAATCCCAAACTCCTAATGTATCCTTCCCCCCTTTTCCCCTTTGGTAACCATAAGTTTGATTTCTCCTTTTTTTTTCCTAATACATTTATTTATTTTATTTATTTATTTTTGGCTGCATCAGGTCTTCGTTGCTGTGGGCGAGATTTCTCTAGTTGCAGCGAGTGGGGGCTACTCTTTGTTGTGGTGTGCGGGCTTCTCATTGCGGTGGCTTCTCTTGTTGCGGCGCACAGGCTCTAGGTGCACGGGCTTCAGTAGTTGTGGTGCACAGGCTCAGTAGTTGTGGCTCACAGGCTCTAGAGCACAGGCTCAGTAGTTGTGGCACACGGGCTTAGTTACTCCGTGGCATGTGGGATCTTCCCGGACCAGGGCTTGAACCCATGTCCCCTGCATTGGCAGGTGGATTCTTAAATGCTGTGCTGCCAGGGAAGCCCCATAAGTTTGTTTTCTATGTCTGTGGGTCTATTTCTATTTCGTATATAAACTCATCTGTATCACATTTTTCTTTAGATTCTACATATGAGCGATATTGTATATTTGTCTTTCTCAGTCTGGCTTACTTTACTTGGTAAAATAATCTCTAGGTCCATCCGTGTTGCTGCAAAAGGCATTATTTCATTCTTTTTATGGCTGAGTAATATTCCATTGTATAAGTATACCATATCTTCTTTATCCATTCATCTGTCAACGGACGTTTATGTTGCTTCCATGTCTTGGCTATTGTAAATAGTGCTGCATTGAACATTGGGGTGCATGTATCTTTTTGAATTATGGTTTTCTCAGTTATAGCTGAATGTGGGTTCCAATAGACAGTTTTGTATGTGTGTACCTGATTATCAAAATGAATTCTGCACCATGTAAAATGTTTCTTTATAATGTAATTGTAACATGACTAATCATCTGTAGCCAAACACTTAATTTTGGTGTGTAGTTCTGTATACAGGGAATCATTTAGAATACCCCGCTTTTCAAATGGGTTTGCTTGGATTTAAAAGAAAACTTAGACCTCTATAGAGGAGCATTTTCTTGATTGTCCAAAATAGTTGGAGCCATCTGGTTATCAAAGAAGTAGAGGAAAACATCTTTGAGTAAAACATCTTTGGACTTTTTTTCCTGCCTCAGTTTATCAGAATATCTTCCAATTCCATCTCGGTGAGTTTTTTTGCACTCTCTGAACCATACTCAGGTTCAGAATTGACCTTTCAACGCCCAATGAATGCCAGCCGATTCTATTCAGCCCCCTTTTTTGGTTGTAACCACGTCACAGAGAACATATAGCCTACTTCTAGTTTTTCTTCTGCAGTATGGGATCCAGGCTGAGGAAGGGCTGGCAGGCCTAAACTTTCTATTCCCAGGGTGTTCACGAATCTAGGGGAAGATTTAAACATTTTTTAATTTTTCAGAACCACTTCACAACTCTTTTAACCTGGCTTCTCATTTCTATTGGCACAATAGATAGTTTTAAATGTTGCAAGAACCTCAGTCACTGACTTACCTTTTCAAGAAGAATCACTCTAGTTGTGCCTGGCACATCGTATCTGCTTCATGAATACGTTTTGGGGAGCTGCGGTGGCTGTTCCCTCTTAGTACTTATGCAGGTAAGCAGTAAGCAATGTGAGTAATAAAGGGGTAAAAGGTGAAACCAGATGCAGCACTCCAAGCTTCAGCAAGGGGCGACCACCCCATTTTATAAGAAAACCCTTATTATCCTGTCTCTGTCTTTATAAAGATAACAAATTGCAGAAGGATATTTTATATCTTTCCTAGAGGTCCTTTGTAATGGTCAGTGCTGCACAGACCATTGGATCATTTAAAAAACGTAATTTTGAGCAAGGTACTTTGGTAATCCTGGTTACGTTTCATATGAAAACGTGTTAGGGATATAACGATTCTGGGTCTCAAATATACTCCTCTTACACTCTGCCACAGGGTCCTTTAAATCTTGGCTTTTCTCACTTTCTCTAGGCAATTAGTTTTTAGATTTCTTTTATTTATACAGGTCCTCGGATGATGACAACAGACAAATTTTATGTAGAATTCTTCTTTTATATATTGTTTCATTACTTTTAACTACAGTAATTCCTGATCTTGCTAAATCAATTTTGGTTTAAGTTATTATGCTGGCTATTTTCAAGGCCTCATTCTGATGTTGATATTGGGGGTGGGAGGTGATCTCTGGTAAAACCACCTATGGCGTCTCCATTATAAAAGCAGTGAAAAGACATGCGTGTGGAATTATTGGTAGACTGCTGCTTGTTAGGGAAGCAGTTTTTAAAATGCAGATTATATAATATTTGGGGATTTTGTTGCTCCACAGTAGAAGCTTTTTAAATGTTAATTTGGGGTTTGTTTTGTTGTTCTGTGACTTAGCATAAAAGGTTTTGGTTTTGAAAGGTTTCAGTTCACTCATTCCAGTTGTCTTACAGGACTTGGAATATAACACTATACATTTATTTATACTCATGAAAGAGGATAAGGCCAGTAACTCACAACTCATGAAACCAGGGGTAAATAATCCATAGCTTGTTCTACCACTATTGCCACAATATTTATATCCAGAACACAAGTAACAAACAACCCCAAACAAGGAGAAACTAGTTTGTTTTTATTTACAAAATGTTTAATCAAAAGTACAGTAAAGTTCAAATGGAGCTGCAAATCCTGGTGGTTCACAATGGTTTGATTTATTTTTTTAAACAGACCACAGATAATTAACCATAAAACATAACTTTCTCAACACAAGTTACAGTGAATTACAGAAATAGGCAGCAAGTCATTCACAACTGGTTGCAACTGGTTAGAGCCTTAAAGTTAAGCACACAGGCAGCTACAAAAGCACTTTCTCAGGGCACAGTTGTATTTTCATTCCCAAAGGGGAGCATCCTTTACTTTTTATATAGTATTAGTGTGTCAGTGGCCTGAGTGAAAAGTAAATGGGGTTATTTTCTATGATTGTCATAGATTTATTAAATACCTAGCAGCAACAGTGCTCTTTTCATTTCAGAATGTTTCACCATCACTAACTGGATTTTCCTCGTGACGTTGCCGTCTGGTAAGCAACTTTCATCATCTCTAAATGGTGGTCCAAAATACTGAGGTACAAAGAAGCCAAGTATATTTCTCCCAACCGCAGAAAGACTTAAACCTAAAGCTGTGGTGAGTCCACCACCTCAAGTACTAAACTTGAACAGAATGTATTTTGACATTGGTGAAGGGTGCCTATTTCATATCCTATTTGTTCATTTGAAATACCATCATTTAGAATGATATGAAACATGATCTTGAGAACCTGTTGTCACAGAGTTCAACAAATGGTTTACAGTGATTTTGCTACACTGGGGTGGAAGTATTCAGAGGACACCTGAGTGGACAGAGAAGGTGATTTGGTGAAGTGGGGCACTGATGTTTCCATGTGGAACACTGGATGTTTTGGCATTATGCGAACAAAACCCTCCAAACATATTCTGTGATGCTTTGAACTACATATTATTATCCAATGATATGCTACACATTTGACGTGCATTTAATTCATGTGGATCAGTCTTAAAATCAGACATGACTGCTCTTGTGTGTATGCACAAACGAAGGGGCCGTGGACAACCCTCACCACTACCACCAACATTACCAATTAAGTAAGAGGACCAAGGCCAGGGCTTCAAGCTAGCCTAGGTTTGAAACTTTGAGGTCTATGTGTCTTTTAGTGAGAATTGGTAAAGTTTCAAAATTCAAAGTTTCTAGAATTCTTGAGAGCTCAGGGGCTGGGAGGAGAGCGCAGGTCAGGACTGAGGGTATATTGGTAGAACATCATCAAGTCAGACAGGGCTTGAAAGAGTTGAGTTTGCTAGAGATTGGCTTGCATAGAAATGCACCGGCAGATGTACCAGAGAGGGGAGGAGTAAAGGGGTAACTTACCTGGCATCTGAATATATTCTCCCTTGCTCTAGCCAGGCCTATTTAGTCATGAGCGTCATGTTCATCCAGACTTTTAGCATCTACACTCTTGACTTCACTTTATATGAATTTGCATGAAATGAGGAAAAGTAATCTCTTGGGGTAATAAAGATAGCTTTCTAGCAGAGACTTTCCATATCCATTACACATAATCCACAGTTGTCTACTGTATTTTTGTTTCTAATTCTGTTGTACATCTATCTGTCTTTCTGAATGTACCCATCTTGCCAGTGAAGGGCACAAGCCTTTAGATTGTAACTCCCTACTCCCACTCCCAAGCTTTACTCATTATACTGCCCCAAAAGAAAGAGTGAGAATGTTAAGAACTCAAGGGACAGGCTCATTTGGTAACTTTTATTTGTCATTCCCTGCATTCATTGCAGAAATGATCTCATCACAAAATGGCCTGAATTTCACCCTCTTTCTGGCTTGCAAAGAAGCCAGTTCCTCCCCTATTTCTATCCAACGCACAGAAAGCTCTTTATGTTTCTACGATCAGATAAAATCTGTATTGACATTTCTTTTCCTGTGGGTGTATTTCACTTCTAGGTATGAAGATTTAAACTATCAGGGCAATGCTGTATGTTTGTAGTTTCTCTGTTTTAGTAAATAAAAAGCTCCTTGGGAAAGGAGAGCACATCTTATCCACTAATGAATAAATATTTATTTTCATTTAGAAATGATACATGCTTATTAAAAATAATTTGGTAAAACACATTGGAGTAAAATGAAGAAAAATTAAAGTAATTATTTCTGTAATTTAAATCCAACCATTAATAACCATTTGATATATTTCTTTATGCTCATTTTCCCCTGAGGATATATTTTTTAAAACATGCTGTAATCATACTTTCCATATAATTTTATGTCCTGCTTTCAAAATTTAACCTCAGAATTCTACATGTAATTACATAGTCCTTATAAACATCATTTTAAATAAATATATACTATTTCTGAAGAGGAATAGCTTACTTAACCTAAACGTCCAACAAGAGTATTTTTTTTAACTTTTTGTTTCCATAATCTTACATATAAAAAGTAAATGAATCAGTCAATAAATAATGAGTAAATGAATGAATGTTCAAATCAGTATAAATTTTTAAAATTTTTATTATGAAAAATTTAAAATACATGAATGTAGACAGATCACTACAATGAACCCCCACGTACCCATAACCCAGCTTGCACAGTGATTAACTATGGTCTGTTGTTTTCCCGTGCTACCACCATGTTATTTTGAAGCAAACCCCAGTCATTATAGCATTTTAGTCCATCAATATTTCAGGCCCATCAGAACTTTTTACATTTTAATGTTAAAAACATTCAGATGAATAGTTCTAATCATTGTGTAGAGGAGTAGTTTTCTTCTGAGTGTGCTGTCATCACATTTTCTAAAATGTAACAATTGATCATAAAATCTCATCAGTGTGTTTCATAACATTCTTAGGCACATCTGTAAGCCAAAGGATAATTTGGTTGACTAGAGAGACATTTTACAGATTTGGCTAGGTTTCTTGGATGCATTTTTTTTTTTTTTTTGGTATTTTTTTTTACTTGACTCAAACTTAGGATGATAATTTGCATGCCAGATCGATGCAGCATTAATTATACTCATTACTGGATATATGTTGTGTTATATACAATTCCATATTTGAGGTGAAAGGAAAACATAGCCCTTTAACTACTCAGAAGTCCAGCATGGCTGCAGCCAACCCATCCTAGATAAATATGGTGAAAATACTTAAACCAAATGTAACACTGGATTTAAATGTTTATAGTTTTTTAAGATTTATTGGCAGAAACGGAAGGTTTCTCCCTAAGGAGGTACTTAGGAAGTCTGTAAAGGGAGGAATTATCCATTAATAGTCTGAATAATTTTTCAGAAAAGCACTATGTTTGGGGAAGTGGGCGTGGAGGGAGATGGTGCCTTGCAGAACAAAGGGCACTCACTGCCTGTGTGCCTGTGTGTGTTACTCCAGTTTATCCTGAGAATATTTAAAGAACCTTCTGTGGGTCAGTTTCCCATGGCTAGACCACCTCCTTTATACCCAGAGCCACGAGGAGGAATGCTTCATGCAAGTAGGTTGTCTGCAGAAGACCAGTAGTGAAGGTTTTATCCTTCCTGGCTGTCTTTGACCTGCAGGTCAGTGACTGTTCCAACAGGTGTGTTCCACTCATCAGAGATTCAGGATGTGAGTAACTGCGTAACGTCCTGCATCAGTATAAACTGGATTTATGTGTTACTCATGTCTATTTAATCTTAAGAGCACATTTCCCATTGGCCTCGAAAGTGAGTAGCTAAGAATACTGATGTGCCTAACCCTTGAGGAAGGAAAAAAAAAAAAGAGCTTCCCCACTGTACTAAATCTCTAGAAAAATATGAGGGTTTATAGTATGGACACATACAAAATATTTTCAAACAAAGTTGGTGGAGGAAAGCACATGGAAAAGAAAGAAAGAAAAGAAATAACATAAGCAATAAACTATCCCAAGCAAACAGAAAGCATCTGTAAAAATTGCCAGACTGGATGGTGTAAACAGTACAAACTATTTTTTTCTTTCCATCTCATTTCTTTTTCCCCTCAGTCTTCTGATCATTTCTGTTTCTCTTTATCCTGGCCTGGCATTACCATCGTTAAAATGTCCTCAAAAGGTCAGGAATGTATCTGACAGCTTGGCGTTGAAGCAGGCATTCCAAGAAAAGATAGGTAGGAGCTAGCTACTATACTATTTTAAAGCTGCAAGGATATTTTACCATAACCCATAATACCCATATTTTAAAACAGTTAACCTTTTCATCATTATTTTAAGATTGATGCTGACAACACAACAACTGAAATAAAGGTGTAAGTCTTCACTTTTTCCTGCGTCCTCTTCTTACATGTGGTGTTGGATTATGTAGCTCATGTCATATAAACCTAGAATATAAAGTAACTTTTATAGAGAAGAGTAAGTTTACCAATAGTTCTTTCTAACTAAAGTATTATTCATTATGCCCAAGTGAACCTTAAAGTCTCATCACGACAACAGCTATTATTATTATTATTACTACTACTACTACTGTGATTAATGATAGTGTTCACTTCTTGGTGTATGTGTGTGGCATTTTCTTATGCTTGGCCTTTGGGTCTGGTGTTTGTTCCATTGTTACATTTGCTATAAAACAGCACTTCTTGGAATAAAGTAGTATTCCGTAGCCTCTACCTCCTTCCCTGTAGTTTAGTTCATAATCATGGTTGGATGATTCTGCTTAGATAGGGCAGGAAATCCTTTGAAAATCCCCCATCAAGCCAGGACTTTCATTTTAGTCTTAAATACAGATAGTTACAAAAGAAAAAAAAAAAAAAAAACGTTTTATTCATGTCATCAGACCTATGTTTCAAGAAGTTGGCATATTTTCTGGATAAACTTTACTAGACACGTAACACACCATCATGCACAATTAACATAAGGATGGGAATTACGGCATTCTTTTACTGAGATAACTTTGGCGATTCTGCTTTACCTGGAGTGGTGAGAGAAGGATGAAAACTCCACTCAAGGCAAAGATATTCAAGGAGATGATTTTGTAGCCAGCTCAGTCCTTTCACATTGGAAATGCTGAGAAGTCTCCGTTTTTTCACCCTTCACTAGCGATTACTCAAAGCCTGTGATATAAAGAACTTCCTTTGGAGATGCTTTTGGGGGGACTGATGCATTAGCAAACCGTGCTGGGCTCCATAGAAAATTGGTTTTTGTTTTTTTTTTTTTTTTTTTTTTTTTTTTTTTGTGTTACGCGGGCCTCTCACTGTTGTGGCCTCTCCCATTGCAGAGCACAGGCTCCGGATGTGCAGGCTCAGCAGCCATGGCTCACGGGCCTAGCAACTCCGCGGCATGTGGGATCTTCCCGGACTGGGGCACGAACCCGTGTCCCCTGCATCGGCAGGCGGACTCTCAACCACTGCGCCACCAGGGAAGCCCAGAAAATTGGTTTTATTTGTTCTATCCTACTCTATAAAATATTCTTAAGGTGCCGTTGATGTATACTTTTTTATCAAAAGCAATTTGCTTTCTAAGTTTCTGATGGCCATTCTGCGAATCAACCTAATGTATTTGTGGTGT